CTCCACTCAGTGCTATTAAATTTTGTATTTGGGGTTTGTGTGTGGATTTGTATTTATATTTTTTGTTTGAAGTTAATTGTGTCAACAAAATTAAACATGATGCTTCTATTTTTCATGGTAGCTACATTGGTTATAGTTATGAGGGTGGTAGAAAACAAGAAAATGCAGCCATGGAACATATCCATTATCTTTATTTGTTATATTTGGTGAATGAGATAAGTGAAATATGATTTGTGCAGTCTGCAAATTTTAAATAAAATATGGTTAAGCTTTTTTTTTTTTTTTTTTCCTTTTGTGGGTGCACTGCTTACTGGATATGTGTGCACTGCAAATATGTTTTGTGCAATCTGCAAATTTTAAATAAATGGTGGGTATGCATTTTTGTTGTTCATCCGCTGGGTGCACTGCTGACTGCATATGTGTGCACTGCTGCTTTAGGGTGTGGCGAAGTTCAGTGTTTATATGGCACTTAGTATGTGTCCTTTGTTGTCATTTTAATTTTTAGTTTGGAATGGTTGGTGGATCATATGCTTGGTTGTGTTTGTTCTTTTTGCAGCTAAAAAGTTTAGGTGCGCACAATCGGATGCGGGTCTTTCTGGAGTATCTGATGGCGATAGTGATTTTGTGTCGCCCCCGCCTAGGTGGTACATTCAGGTTTCAGCAAGAGCCACCGCAGGAGGATGTTCCGAGTATGAGTTGACCGTTGAGGAGGATGCGTTGTATCCTAGGGCGAAAATGAGGGACAAACGGGGGTATTGGTAAACGCCTTAAAGGATCTTAGCTTTCAACAGAAGCTGACATTCGGGAGCTCGGTTTGGGGCGTTGCTTGAGTTCAACATTGTGGACGTTCCACCACGTCTTTTGCGATGGTTACTATTTAATTTTGATTCGCAGTCGAAGTCATTTGATCTTGGGGGTGGGAGATCATTGGTTGTAAATGAGAGTGATGTCGAGTTGATTTTGGGGTTTCCACGGGGGTCATGTTAAGATGGTTCCACGGGATAAGCTTAAGGTGAGCAACACCCTCAAAACACTGGAGGGGTCTATTTCAGAAGCGGAAGCACAGGGTGACTGCGGCGAAGATTATTCAGAGGATGGTGGAAGCCGTTGATGGTGGATTCTGGTTTAAGCGGCATTTCCTTGTGTTAGTCTTGTCGTCCCTGGTTTGTTGTATGTGTAACGGTTACTCGAACCAGATGTATTTTCATCATTTTGAAGATGTGTCGAGTGTCCGTGATCTAGACTGGTGCAAGCTTGTGGTCGACACTTTAGTTGAGACGCAGGCTGCGTGGCGTTCTGGTCAGCATAAGTTTTTTCTTGGGCCGACTGAGTTCATTACGGTATTGTTGCTATTCTTGTCTTGAGTTATGTGTGTGTTTTATTTGTTCCAACTAATATTGTAATATTTTTTCATGTATTTCTTTTTGGTGTTTTTCTAGTTGCTTTATGTAGATCGGGTTGTGCATGGTGCCCGCGTTGTCCCTCGGTCCTGTACCTGCTCTTCGTGGGTGGTCGTCACCTTTGCTACGTCAGCGTGAGTTCGTTGAGATTCGGAGTGGAGGGTTTGCCTTGGTGGCATTGAGCCCCCGGTTCAGTTGTGTGGTGGGGGGATGAAGGTGATGATATCCCGCCGGTTGAATATGGGCCTAGGATATGGTTTTTTTTTTTTTTTTTGTTGGTTTGCTTATGTTTATGTTTTAAGTGTGCACATGTCTTTTGCTGCGGGTGCACCTGTCATTCAAGGTGTCTTTGTGGCTTTTAATCGCACTTATTCGCTTTGTTGTCTTGTTTTTGTTTGGATAGACATTTGGTGATGTTGTAATTCAAACAACAACGAAGATAGCGAGAGAGGTGTTAGAGTTGGTGGAGCAAGGGCCGGATGGTGCTTTCGGTAGTGATGTGCTTCGAGGGGTTTTTGATGCCATCAAGTTTCTTCGGGTGGTTGTTGCAAATCAGTGTGACGCGTTATCCGATGATATGCCGTCCTTCAGTCTGGGTATTACGCAGGATATAGCGGATTGTGGTTGGGGTGATATTGAGGCTGTGTTGCGGGACTTGGTCCCGTCAAATACTGGCATTCTTGATTCTGATGTGGTGGGTATTATGCCAATTTTGATTTTATTAGTTTTATAAGGTTGTTGGCCAGTTTCTTGTGTGCATTCGGCTTAGTGGTTACATTATGTGGGTTTTGAACTGTTTTTTTGCTTTTGTTTTGACTTTTAAGCTCATTGTTGTCTTGTTATTATTATTTTTTGTTTTTGCCGAATAGGGTGGTTCAAATGGTGGTAAGCATGGGGCTGGTTCTGAGGGTGCTCGGCCGGTGGTGACTGGTGAACCTGCGTCTGCCTCTCATCCGGTTGCTACACCTGTGTCTGCTGGGGTGGTACGTATAATGTGTTCTGCGTAGTTACTTAGGGATATGTTTCAATTTGTGTTTGCAAACATGTGGGTTCTTCTCGGCGGGGTGAGCATACTAGTGTTAATGTGGGTGCACATTGCATGTGGCCTATGTTTGATCTAGTTACTTGGTGAAATGTGGTGTTGTTCGATTTCTGTCTTCCATAGGGTGGGGGTGCTGCAGTACAAGCTAGAGAGTGTGCTGTTCCTGGGCACGGTGAATTTGCGATGGCTATGCCAGTTCAGCATGGTTTGGTATGTGCTTTTGTTTTCCGTGTATGCAGTGTGCACATGAATTGACTGTGGTGTGTATGGCACTGCTCACTGGCTATTCCCACGAGTGCACGATCGCATGGTCCAGGGTTTATAACCTTTCAGCGCGATATCCCCCGCTGCGTGTGTTTTTTTGTGTTGTTTAATTATGTTATTTTGGTGTGCAGCCATCAATACCTGCGGGAGAGGCCATTGGGTGTCGGTATGCCGGCCCTCTGTGTCAAGCACCTTTGAAACCTTGTCGGGGTGGTACTCGGGCGCCGAGTAGTGGTCCTCCGGGGGTGTCGCGCCTAGATATCGGCGCATCCGGTTCCACGAGTTCTATGGCTTTGCCCGACTTGGACAAACCGGATGAGGGAGTGATTTGCAATTGGTTGTTGTGTGCAGCAGATGCGAACATGTTAGTTTCTGAATCTATTTTTTGCTATGCAGATTCTGTTTCGTATGGTTAGTTCATGTGTTTTTTGTTCTTTGTGTGTTTTAGGGATGATATATTGTTCGATGTTAGTGGTAGGGCTGCTCGATGGGGGGATTTGTTGTCACTTGCACCCGGGTCGTTGGATGAGGTTGCCGTGGTAGATGCGCGGGCATGTCTTTTGAATTGTCGAGAGCGGTATAGGGCTCCTTCTGCCCCTTCCCGTTTTTTTGCATCCACTCTTTCCACGGTTTGTTTCTAGTCCGTACCCTTATGGTAAGGTTTTTTTTTTTTTTTTTTTGTGGTTATGTGTTTTGATTTTGCATATTTGATTGTTCTTGAAGCTTCGTACGGTTTGGGATACCTCTCTTGATCTGGATAAGCGGATTGCTATGTTTAAGGAGAGTCTCTACGGGGAGTTTGAGATGACGCCTTACCAGCATATTAATGAAGTTGACATGGTATGTTTGGCTTTCTGCTTTTTTCAGTGTACTGTTCCTTGCCCCTATTGTTAGTTCTGTTGTGCACCCGGTGGCTGCCTTTTGTGCACTCAGCCCAGATTTGGTTTTACTTTTTGGTGTGGGATGCTTTGCTTGTAGTCATTGTATGTCTTCACCCATTCATGGTTGTTGGTTGCAGTTTATGTTTCCCATCCTGCGCCAGGGACACTACTTTCTTCTTTGCGTCGATTTTCGTAATATCCGATTTGAGATTATTGACAATTCAACGCTTTAGTCCACCAAGCAGTTGAAGTATGGTGATTGTCCGGATGACTTGGTAGGGTTTTTGTCAAACTTTTTATACTTGTCTGATTGTGTGACCAGGCTTTTACTTGCTTAACTTTTTGTTATGTGTCTTTTTGTTTGGTATTCATTCGACACTTGGAATTTTGCTGTAGTTGCACATGCTTATGGAGTTCTTTAAATCCATCGACCCGACAAGGTCTACGATGTGTGATACATGAAGGAACTTACTATGGCGTGTATGTTATGCATCATATGGAGAGTTATTTAGGTCAGGGAGTTACCAGATGGAAATGCGGGCTTACCAAAGGTAACACTGCCCAGCTCAAGAAGCTGAGGTTGCGATACATGAAGGAACTTACTACCTCCGAATTCAATTTACATAAGTGTCAAAATATCTCCAGGACGTATCATTCCGTGAAGTCTGTATCAGGGGCTCTATAGTGGAGTTTTAGTTCGTAGTTTTTTTGGTTTTGGATTTTGGCCTCCTTTTTGCAGTTTTTAGGCCTAGTGGTGTTATTATTTTCGATGGTGATCTTATTTGCGAATCTTAATTATGGTTTGTATATGCCTGTACTGGTACATGCATTGTGCTCATGGATATTATTATTATGATTATTTTTAATGGTAGATTTAGTTCGTTATTAGCGTGTATGACAACTACTAACATCGGGGTGTGCATGGTGACGGTAGATAGTGTGCATAGCTTGATCGGAATAATAACATCGAGGTGTGCACAGTGACGGTAGATAGTGTGCATAGCTAGATCGGCATACTAGTTGGCGGGTTGCGTTTAAGGCCAATTTATTGAAAACTCTGTGTGCACAACGATGGTATACGGTGTGCGTAGCTGCGAGTCTTAGTTATTTTGACTAAACTGGGTGGGTGCGCAATGGTGGTAGACGGTGTGCATAGCTGCGAGTCTTGCCTACTTGACTAAACTGGGTGTGCACATTGTTATTAGATGGTGTGCGGTAGCAAAACAAATAAAGTAGTTCTCTATTGCCATACATGGTTATTAATAAAATATGTATCCCTGTGCAAGGGTGGTAGATAATGTGCATAGCTGAAAAAACTAATTACCAATAATGGGTGTAAATCTAAACTTTGACAAGTATTTAATTGAAATTCCAAATGAGCTAGTATTCATAGTGATGTAAAATACAAACGGGCTACTCGTCTGGTAGGGCTTTTCTTTCTGGACAGTTCCTGCTGTCGTGCCCCGGCCGGTCACAGGTAGCGCATGTCCTCACCTTTTTCTTCCCCTTTTCAGTTGCTTTCTCTTTGTTGCTTTTTAATCTTTTCCCACTACCTTTGTTTTTTGCAACGCTTGGTGGTTTGATTTGGATCTCGGCAGGTGCAGTGGCGTTTAGTATTGATTCGATCACTGATTGTGGGGTGGTGCTTGCTCTGGTTTGTTGTCTGGCGCTTTGTAACCTCCCTTTAAGTTCTTGCATTGTTGATAACATTATATCCATTTCGGTTGGGCATCCATTAGCCAATCCCATGCAGTTGTAGAACTCATTCCAAAGTTGGTTGGCAATTGTTCGTAATTCATTCCCACCCTGTGTATTACTGCATGCTTTCCACACAACATTGTACATTGGCTGCGCACACGCACTCTTAGTCCATCGGGGAACAATATAGCATCCTGGTATTTCTTCCACGCCTTCGTTCTTGAACACGGCCAACACATGCTTACATAATAGTCCTACTCTGTTGAATTTGTTACAATTGCATTATGTTCTTTTAGTAGATTCTTCGTGCGTTACCTCAAATATATTTCCCCCCGTTTCATGAACAGTGTACTTGTAACCCCCATCATCATTTGTCTTGCATGTGATTTTGCATGTGAAGTTTCCTTCCCATATTTCTTCCTGGAAGTCGTAGAATATGTTTTTGGTGTACATTGCAGCAGCTTGGCGTTCTATGGCCAATGGGGTTTTGGTTTCAGGGAATGAACTTTCGCCCTTGGCGTCCAGCTGTTTTTGGTGGTACCTCTGTTCTCCGATGGCGCGGTTGTATTGCATTATGAACTCTACCAAGCTGTTGTGGTGATTGGTGAATTTGCCAAAATAACTGTTCTCTGATTCTGACCGTGATGTTGTTTTGAGTAGTCCCCCCATGAATATATCTTGGAAATATGCAGGTATCCATGATGCACGGGCTTTGTACATTTGATCAAACCACCGGTGTTGAACAAGGTTGTACTCCTGCATTACCTTTGCCCATTTCAATTCGAATGTAGTTACACTTAAAGTTTCGTCCCATACTGCATTGTTCAGTGCCTTTCTAAACTCCATGTTTTGTGCTAGTGCATTCCCTACCTTGTCCCCCACTTTTTCCATGATGTGCCACATACAGAATCGGTGCCTTGTTTCCGGCATAATGTTAGGTATTGCGACCTTTAATGCAGGGTCTTGATCTGTAATAACACATCTTGGTGTATAGCCCATCGCGGTTTTGAAGTTTTTTAATAGCCACTCGTACGACTCCACGTCCTCTCTTGCAATGAGGCCTGCCCCAAATGTAATGCTCTGTTTATGGTTGTCGACTCCTGTAAACGGTACAAATATGAGCTTGTATCTGCATGTTTTATGTTGTAAAGTAATTAGTGCACACGCGTATAATCATAATAACAGCTTTGTAGACAGAAATACGTAAAACAGTTACAAAATTGATGATTCCTACCACAGTTAGCAAATGTTTTTTGGAACCATGGTAGTACTGCCATGCACACAAGGATTCATACGAGTGCACACTGCACCCTTTACCCAGTTTAACATTTAATTACAAGCACCCATACGGTTAGTGGTATTAAAAGTACCTCATGCTTATTACCCATGCATACTGTATGTAGCCGACTATCATGCTCTAGTCCAGTGGATATTCATTATAATTGTAAGTCAGTCGCGTGCAATCAGGGGTATAGATCCCCATGCACACTTACATGCATAGTCGTGCACTCAACCTATTTGGCTCCATAACCACAGGTTCGGCCACTCCCACCCCCATTGTTAAAGAAAAATAAATGACATGATCATACAGTTTTAAACGGGCATGTACACAAACATTTTTCTTAAATTAAATTATTTTAATTGTTGTGATGTGTACCTGTTTGTGCTGTAAGTTGCGTCGAATGACATCACATCGCCAAAACATACATAATTCTTCCGGGATATCGTGTCTGCCCAAAAAAACCTGCATAGCTCCCTGTCTTCGTTGAGATCAAAATCGAAGTAGAAGTCTGGTTCCATCTCTTTATTTTTGTACATATCTTCTACTACCATTTGTGCATCTGCTCCGGAAATATATGCCAACAAGTCCCTTCTAAAATTGCAGAAATCGGTGGATGTTGCTCCTATATCTGAAAAACTTCCAACCATTTCCTTGTATAGCCTCCATGATTTTGTGGAACCAATGTTTGCCCTTGCACAGTTTGCTACGAATATTTTGTGTCCAATATCTAGCTTCCTATTTATTTTAAGAAATGGCCTCCCAATGTCAGAGCATAGGCAATGTGTGTGCCATAACTCAAGTGCATGGATTATGTAGCTACCGCTTTTGTGTCTTGTGAACCCGATTCGGGCGTTACAACCAACACGAGTTGATAGCCGGCGCCTTTTCTTCGGTGAGGTGGTGGTTCCTTTGTTGCTACTACTCATTTTTTTGGGCTTGTATCCTTCCCATGAGCATAAAATATATTTTATATGGACTGCCCCTGCCCTGTTCCATCGCTTCGTCCCGTGTCCGATATCGAATCCGGCGATGGCTGCGTATGCCCCGTAAAAGTCTACTCCGTTTTCTAGTGATGCAAATTCTTGCCCAATGTATGGGGTGTTTTCGCTTTTGCAGTTCGGTAACCATTGCTTCGTTCCATCGGGTAATACTACCATGTTGCACTCCGTTGCTTCGTCTCCATTGTGTTGTGCTCCTATAAGTCAGAAATGGGATTTTTGGTCAAATAATAGAACACTTGTATGCCGATGTCAACACTGTTAACGCTATGTACAGTATAAGTAAAAAATATGTGTAAGCACGTGTGTCCAAACTATGACGTCCTGTGTGCATTAAAACCTAGTTCTGGGTGCATCGCGTAGCCCAGATACGGGCGTGCAGACCTCACCACATCATGCTGCCCCGTATTATTTTTCCCCAAAATTTAGTTCACAAAATGATATGCCTACCATAGGATTGCGTGATCATGTGGATTATCATTTATTATGACACCCATTAATTAGCACTCCATTCAACAGAGTTCGCTCAAAAAATTGAATCTTGAGCATGGCCCTATTCAAACGATATACGGTGTACGTACCTGGGTTCAGAGCCTCCATGGATTCCGGTATGGCGTCGAATTGAATGGGGTCTATTCTGTCGTCCACGGTCGGTTGTAATTTTGACCGTTCGTAATTGATTTTATTTTCGTCCGGTATGGTGTCGTAATTTTGTCCGTTCGTACACAGGTTTTCGGTGGCAGTGATGGGATGTCTTCAAATCCTACGCACTTTGAACTTCCTTGTTCGTAGCATAGCATACCAGTGAATTCTATTCCTTTTCTGATTAATATGCTTCCGTGTAAGAGGGTGGTGCATTCCCTATATTACCCTTATGTTCAGTAATTGTTAATCCGTGTGGTAGTAATCAGCCTTCATCTAGTCCATTGATCTAATCACATCTTGTGGCTAGAGTATGTCCGCACGTTTGTATTTTAAGGGGGTTTGTATTGGAATGCAACCCTATATATATATATATATATATATATATATATATATATATATATATATATATATATATATATATATATATATATATATATATATATATATATATATATATATATATATATATATATCTGTGTGTGTGTGTGTGTGTGTGTGTGTGTGTGTGTGTGTGTGTGTGTGTGTGTGTGTGTGTGTGTATATATATATATATATATATATATATATATATATATATATATATATATATATATATATGAAAAATTGCATCTTTGGTCCCTGAGTTATATGGAGTACTCAAGTTCCAACTCAGTCCCTAAATTATGACCGTATCCATTTTTAGTCCCTCAGTTATGAACGAAGTGGCGCATTTGGTCCCCGACCGTTAAAACTGACGAAAAAATTAAAAAAATATTTTAAATTTGAGGGGTAAAGTAGGAAATTCACATTTTATTCTCCTTATATCAAAGTCACTTTCACAACATTATTTTTCACTTCTTAGCCTCTTATTTCATGATTGTTCAATTCTAAAATCATTTCAATAAGTTTAGTATGACTTGTTAGGAACCTGGCTCTCATATAACAAATTTAAGACTTAGCACAAACAAACAAACAAACACTTTATCATTGTCTTCAGACGCGTGAAACACATTATCCTTTATCAATTTTCAATTTTCTTTACTAAGCAACAAATTAAAGGTAATCAAACCAAAACTTTTGAGATACAAAATGATGTCAAATTTCTCAGGTTGCTTTTATGAGAAATTCACCAACGGAATAACTTGAGATTTTTAGTATATAAAATTTTTTCATATGCAGTAGTTTAGTCAATAATTGTTTTTAGAAGTTACAAAAGTTTTTAGAATTTTTATAACTGAGTCTTAGGTTTCTCATTCATTACTCTTATTTTTAAGAAGACAGAGGAGTTGATGGATATATATAAATAATATAATTTTCATATATTATTTTAGTATATACGATTCATGATTAAGTTACTGCAGAGCTTACGAAAGAATTTTATGTACTAAAAATCTCAAGTTACTCCCTTGGTGAATTTGTCATAAAAATAACATGAGAAATTCGATATCTTCTTGTATTTCAAAAGTTATGGTTTGATTACCATTATGTTTAGTAAGAGAAATCGGAAACTTTTAGGATGATGTGTTTACATGCTTGAAAACAATGATCCAGTGTTCTCTTGTTTGTACCGAGTCATATGTTCCTTATACGAGACTCGGGTTACTAACAAGTCATATGGAGATTTTCGAATTGCTTTTGGAATTGATTAACCTTGAAATAGAATGCTAGGAAAGTGAAAATAATGTTGCAAAAGTGGTTTCAATATAAGAAAGTGAATAAAATGTGAATTTTCTACTTTACCTCTAAAATTTTAAATATTTTTAAATTTTTCCGTCAGTTTTAACGGTGAGGGACCAAATGCGCTACTTTGCTCATAACTGAGGGACTAAAAATAAATACGGTCATAACTCAGGGACTGAGTCATTGAGGAAATTATCTCTGAGTTTATTCAATGATTTGAGAACAATACGCTGTAGGTTTATATACATATAGCACAGCACAATAGTAGGAAACTAAGCTTAAGAATAGGCTGAATGAACCTGTGACTCTAAATGCCTAATAGAGGATTAGCCATCGGAGGCGCACTGGAGGAGGACGCAGCTACGAACTCCGGTGGGCAAGCGGTGGTGTCGTTAACAAAACCGTATAGGTTTTGGCCACGCAAAAACGACACAAGTTGCGCTCTCTAGAACAAGTAGTTCATGGCGGTCAGCTTGATTGAAACATAGTGGTGGACTTGGTGAAGCATATTTGAAGAGGGATTGTGTTGAGAGGATGTGTTTGGTATGGCGACCGTGGTGATCGCCTGAGTGGTGGCTACTACCGGCGAGTCAGCGAAAGCAGGCGGGGTGTTGTTGTTTTGGTTAGAGGCTATAAGATCATAAGGGTTTTTAGACTGATACCAGATTGAGGAAATTATCTCTGAGTTTATTCAATGATCTAAGAACAATACACTGTAGGTTTATATACATATAGCACAACACAATAGTAGGAAACTAAGCTTAAGAATAGGCTGAATGAACCTGTGACTCTAACTGCCTAATAGTCACTACCATTATAACTCAGGGACCAAACTCGTCATTTTCACACACACACACACACACACACACAAACACAACGTTGTCAATAAGAGATACATAATATCATTGCAAGTGTTAAGTGTATATCCATTTAAAAAAATACAAACACAAATTAAAAGCTATTATTTTAACCCATACTTCAATTTGGAATATACTTTGTCTAGAATCACTCTATATGTTGTTACCCGTGCTAATTTCGAACAAAGAAGCAAGTCACCAGTGAAGAAAGTAAAAATGGAAAAAAGTCGGAGGAAATAAGCAGAAATACGTTGGGGGAGGGGGGGTTAAATATTTTAATTTCCGTCCAACACCAATGTTGGGCGATATATACTAATACATACCTACCATTTTAACTTTTCACCTACCAGTCAATTCAATTTTATAGTCTAACATTACGTGTTAGACAAAATTTTTGTCTAACGCGTAAACATTGGTCGGAATTTTCAACCAACTTTTCGTCCATTTCTCATTGACGACGAAAAGTTGTGATTTTAACAAATTATCGACTAACAAGTTTGTTGGAAGAAAATGTTGGTAAAAAATGACGAGCTAGACTTCCAGCCGTGAATAAAGCTATTCCACTCAAATATGTTCAATGTTGTAACCCATTAGCTCAAACAATGATCAATGTAATTGAAGAAGGAGAAGGCAAGAAGCAAGGCAAAGAGGATCATCTTATGCATTCATCTGTATCTCATCATACAACCATAACACCTTTATATATAGTGTACAAACATAACAGAAGATATAATAGAGACATAAATACATGAATCGTTACAACTGTTATATAATCTATAATAATGTCCACATAATGATTATATTTATAACACTCCCCCTTGGACATTATTTGTCCATGACCTTGCCTCGTTAAAAACTTGCTAGGAAAACCCTGTGGCAAAAACCTAGACAAGAAAGAGTACAATAGAAAATATATCCATGCCTCATTAAAAACTTCACTAGGAAAACCACGTCGGAAAAACCTAGTTGAAGAAAAGAGTACATAATATATGTAAAACATATATTGTATTGGTCGCCTCATTAAAAACCTTAACTTAAGAAAATCCTGTGGGAAAAACTTAGTTAAGGGAAAAAGAGTACACCATAAGCCTTCAGGGCATAATCTGCAGGATTTTGGAGTTTGTTCATTTATTAACCAATTAGTTTGCAACTTTTCCCCATTGTCATTACTATATCATACTCATGCCTCATTAAAAACCACACTAGAAAACCCATTGGGAAAAACCTAGTGAGGAAAAGAGTACATGGTATGTATATGCTGCAAAAAGTATAACTATTAGTCCTTTTAAGACCCAATCTACATGATTGACTCGAGTGAATGTACTTCCCGTCTCCCCCTGAAGATAACAATCTTCAAGTTCTAAATAGCTTAAATATAATTTTTTTTCTTTACCTACACATATCAATCTTATGGATATTTTGTAGGTATACATTTGCTAACTTGTCACTGGAGCAAACCTTCTGAACAAATATTTTATCACTCTTCTG